GATCATATTTATTTATTTTATAGGTTGAAATAAATTTTATAATTGCCTTGGTTATTATATTCTCACAATTTTTATTAATTCAAATAGTTTTTTTGCTATCCTTTTACTACTTGATTTTTAATTAATTTATTTTTATTTTATTATAGTTGTCCTATTTGGTTATTCTTTTAAGTCTGTTAAGATATTTGTTAAGTCTCTTAATTTTAAAAAGTTTTTTAAAAAGATAAATATTTTTTTCAGAACCCAAATTCATGAAGTAGACAATGTTGAATCTCTTTTTGATGAGCTAATGAATTTAATAGTTCGATTTGGTAACTGTGGAGTTATTCATGGAGATTTTAATGAATTCAATATTATGCTATCTGATGATGGACATCCTGTAGTTATTGACTTCCCACAAATGATCTCAACATCTCATCCCAATGCTGAAATGTACATGTTTAAATATTTTGAATAAGTTTGTTATAAAAAAAATAGTAAGATAATTGGATTTTTTTTCTAAATCATTAATTTATAACACATTTCAATCAGGTTCTTCAATCGTGATGTGACATGCATTCAACAATTTTTCCGGAAACGATTTAATTATGAAAGCGATCTCCATCCTACATTTGCTGATTTGGAACGTGATGATAATCTCGATGTTGAAGTAGCTTGTAGTGGCTATACGAAAGATATGGAAAAGGATTTATTATGTGAATTAGGTAAGTTTTATAACTTGAATTCAGTGGTAAAAATAATTTAGTAGTATATCTGAAGAGGAGTAGATAAATATATATATATATATATATATATATATATATATATATAAATTTGATTCATTTGCAATAAGTGGTATGTATCATGCCTATAATTAACAAAATGTGTGACCCCTGCATACATGTATGTAAGTTCATTCAATTTTAGACAGTATATATATAGTGAATGCTAAACATTGTTTTAGGTATGAATAATGATAGTGATTTCGAAGATGTAGATGAGCAAGAAACACCAATTGAAACTTTTGAAGAAAATTCTGCTGGTATTGCTGATTTGAGGCAAGATTTTGAGAAAGCTATTCAACATGATGAAGAACGACACTGTAAAACAAATACTCAACCTGCAAAAGCACATCAATTACCACTTGAACAAGATCAAAATAATGACATTACACAAACTTTAACATCTCTAGAATTGAATTCTGAAAATTGTAATAGTGATAGTCTTGAAAAAGATACAATATCTAAATGTAAGAATTCAGATAAAGAGAGTTTACAACGGCAGTATGAAATGGTTGAACGATTATTTTCTGATGTTCGAAGTGTGAGATCTACCACAACTGCTAGTACCATAGCTCCTGATGTTATCAAAAACAAAGTAAAAAAAGCATTAGATCATAAACAAAAATGTGATGATAGAAAAAGATGTGTTGTTAAAGGTGAAGCATCAGCAGTTACTAGGAGCAGACGTGAGAATAGAGCTAATATTAAAGATTCTACTGGCATATGGGGATGGGAATAATTTTTATTTTGAAATGCCTGTAAATAATGTTTTCTATTCTGTCTAAGATTGTATATTATGTTTATTGTGATCAATAATTAATAACATATTTCTTTATTTTATTGAGCTCTAGTTCTGACAATTTTAGGGTGCATAATTGATTTCTGCCAAATGTATTTTAATACAATTTTAATAATTTTAGAAAAGTGAATATCCAGCTTTTGTCCAAATCAAATAATTACCATTTTTTTATTTTTTAAATGCACATTTGGTTTTAAAATTTTGCATTGTCAGTTGCATATGATCATGTGATTATACACTATAATGCAGTTATTTCGTTAGAAACAGTAATAATATTGTGAGTGATTGTATTTATTATTTATATAAAAAGATAAAAATATACACCACCTTGGGTGCGTTCGACTTGGACGCTTACGCGCTGTGAGCGCTCACGCTTATAAGCACGAATTTTTAGCGTTCGACTTGGCCGATAAGCGCTCAGAATCGATAACTCAAATCCGTTCGTTTTGGAAACTGTGAGCGTCAATAAGCATCAAAATGGCGGCAACTGGCGGTAACGGTAATTGTGTAAATTTTATTACTTTCTGGATCATTCAGCGGGATTATAAAGAATTTAACAATTAATAAATAAATGAAATTTCGTTTGCTTATGCTTAATTCATATTAACATTAAAATTAAAATTTAAAATTATTTAAAATTAATTAAATTTAAAATTAATTAATATTAATATTAATATTAAAAAATAATTGTGTTATACAACTTGGCATTTTTGCGGGATTATAAAGAATTTAACAATTAATGAATAAATGAAATTTGGTTAGCTTATGCTTAATTAATAGTAATATTAAAATTAAAATTTAGAATTATTTAATATTAATATTAATATTAAAAAATAAATGTGATATACAACTTGGCATTTTTGCGGGATTATATAGAATTTAACAATTAATAAATAAATGAAATTTGGTTAGCTTATGCTTAATTAATAGTAATATTAAAATTAAAATTTAGAATTATTTAATATTAATATTAATATTAAAAAATAAATGTGATATACAACTTGGCATTTTTGCGGGATTATATAGAATTTAACAATTAATAAATAAATGAAATTTGGTTAGCTTATGCTTAATTAATAGTAATATTAAAATTGAAATTTAAAATTAATTAATATCAATATCAATATTAAAAAATAATTGTGATCTACAGCTTGCCATTTTTGCGGAATTATAAAGAATTTGACAATTAATAAACAAATGAAATGACAGATAGTAAAAACAACTGACGCTCACGCTCACGCTGCCCTACCTCCGTGGCGTGAGCGCGTTTGAGCGCAAAATATGTGCTACGAGCATCCTACGATGGTGCTACGAGCGTACTTATGCCACACTCACAGCGCCAAGTCGAACGATGAAAGCGCGCTCACGGCGCGCTCACAGCGCGTAAGCGTCCAAGTCGAATGCACCCCTTAAATCAGGCTAAGAATTTTGACATTTGCATATTTCAGCCAGCATGAAGTTGGCGACGAAATAGAAGTTAGACGTCAAGTTGAAATGTATTGGATTCATAACTTTGACAGCTAAAACCTGTCAAGATCATTATTATCACAGCCAAACAAGTATTATTATTATTAAATTGTCTAATACCAAGATGATAGCCTTTATCTTAGACAATATATTACGTTAAAATACAATATATCTTGTTCCCTCATAGCAAATATTGCAGAAAAAACGAAATATATCTGTCAATTCCAAGACAGTATGAAGTATTTTGGTTTAGTATTATAACATCAGAAGTATTTCAATTTTATTTCATTTACTGAACCTTCTATTTGTTGTTTGTTGAGTTTTAGTTAGCTTCCACTGAATTAAGGTTAAGATCGAAACCAAACCTAATAATGTATACAACGTAACCCTAACAAAAATAATGAATAAAATGTAACCCTATGCGTAAAACGTAAGCCTAAATTATTTTTTAAAACAAAATTATAACTAAAACATTGTATAAAATCTAAGCTAGACTAAAATGATCTTTGAATGAAAAGAATCCTAAAACATAACCCTAAAATGTAAAAATTAAAATAAGAACTAAATAGGCGCGTAATCAAAAAGCCAAAGCGAATAAACTTGAACGGACATAAAAAAAATAAACACAAAAAGAATGAATCATAACGAAAAGCTAAAAAATATTAAATATGAAACAAGCCTACTTAATAAAAAACAATACGCCGACACAACTCTGATATAAAAATGAACAAAATGGCCGACGCGCTCTTGACATCTGAAATGCTTGACAGCTTGATATCAGTCTTCGCCGGCAACTTCATGCTGGCTGAATTATGCAAAGTCTTAAGCCGGCCACAGACGTAACTGTATACTTGCGCAACTGAATGAATGCGCAACCAGGCGTATTTTCACAGCGCCCACAGACGGTTCAAGTTTATGTTCAAGTACTTGCGCAAGCATATCACAAATGTCAAATAATAAATGTCAAAACATAACCTAAAAATATATTTTTTTTATTAATTTATGTATTTACAGCATCAGAAGAGAATTCAAAGTGTTCAGAGGGCTAATTTAATAACTTTTAATTGTCGATAACTTCATAAACTTGTATTATGAATTCGCTACAAAGTAAAATAAAAACGGGACATGTGCTGCCACACGCGGCCAACGAATGAACTTGCCGACTTGAATGGTTGCGCAATTAAAATAATGAAAAAGTGCTCATGCCTACTCGCTTGCACCAGTCTGTCAAGTTGCGCAAAAAACACGCCACAGACGCTACAGAACACATGTGCAAGTCGCAGGTTGCGCAAGTATACAGTTACGTCTGTGGCCGGCTTTAGCTTGATTTAATGCCTCCTTAAAGCCGGCCACAGACGTAACTGTATACTTGCGCAACTGAATGAATGCGCAACCAGGCCTATTTTCACAGCGCCCACAGACGGTTCAAGTTTATGTTCAAATACTTGCGCAAGCATATCACAAATGTCAAATAATAAATGTCAAAACATAACCTACAAATATATCTGTTTTATTAATTTATGTATTTACAGCATCAGAAGAGAATACAAAGTGTTCAGAGGGCTAATTTAATAACTTTCAATTGTCGATAACTTCATAAACTTGTATTATGAATTCGCTACAAAGTAAAATAAAAACGAGACATGTGCTGCCACACGCGGCCAACGAATGAACTTGCCGACTTGAATGATTGCGCAATTAAAATAATGAAAAAGTGCTCATGCCTACTCGCTTGCACCAGTCTGTCAAGTTGCGCCAAAAACACTCCACAGACGCTACAGAATACATGCGCAAGTCGCAGGTTGCGCAAGTATACAGTTACGTCTGTGGCCGGCTTAAAAATATCAATTTGTATTGCCAGTTAACGTGCTGACAGTTGGGAGTCAGGTCAGGTCTTGTTGAACTGTCAAGGCGCCATGTCAGGTGTCATATACAAAAACGTGTTATCTGTCTGACAGTAACGTGTTTGCGCATTTTTCTGCCAAATAATTTTATTTTTTAATATTTATATAACATGTGTGATTAATATGTAGAGATAAAAAGTTATTTATTTTTGAAATACCCAAGCATTCAAGAAATATATAGCGAATAAAAGTGTGCGATAAATATATATTTACATTTTAATTTAAATCACAATTATAATAAAACAGTACTGAATTTAATTAAAAATGAAGCAGCGTTTTAATACCTACGATATAGTCTGTAGCGTTACAGAACTACAAAGGTAAATAATTATTACTTCAATTTTCTTCATGCAATTGATTTTGTTTATATTATTCTTTTAAACATTTTATTCTCATGATTTTTTTTTAATTGTTTTAAATTGATTTTTAGGCTTATTGGCATGCGAGTAAATCAGGTATATGACATCGATAACAAAACTTACTTAATAAAATTGCAAAGAACAGAAGAAAAATGTGTTTTATTACTGGAATCTGGAAATAGATTTCACACAACTGCATTTGAATGGCCTAAAAATGTAGCACCTTCAGGGTTCAGTATGAAGGTAATATTTATAATATTTTTATTGATAATAATTTATTTATGTGTATAATTACATTCTGATGAGATGATTAAAGACGTAGATTACATTGCATATGCATTTTGGAAAAATGAATTGACGAACCATATTTGATGAAATACAAATGATTTATTTAACTGATTCAATAATTGAATATATTAGTGTTCCTCCTTTTTTAAAATATATTTAGATGTATATATATATATATATATATATATATATATATATATATATATATATATATATATATATATAAAGACTGCCAATAAATGGAAATTTGTTACATATATTTAAGAATTATTGTGATTTAGATGAGAAAGCACTTGAAGAACAAAAGGCTTGAGTCATTGAAACAATTAGGAATGGATCGGATTATAGATTTACAATTTGGGAGTGGAGAAGCTGCTTATCATGTTATTTTAGAATTATATGACCGCGGTAATATTATTCTCACAGACTATCAAATGACTATTCTGAATATTCTAAGGCCACACACTGAAGGTGAAGCTATAAGGTGATGTAAAATATTGAAGTTAAAATATAGTTTGTTAATTGTAATTTAATAATTATAACTAAATATTTTATATCTACATCTAATTGTGTAATTTAATTGGAATAGACTTGCTGTGAGAGAAACATATTCTGTAGAACGTGTGCGGAACCATAATGGAGCACCCACTTTGGAAGAATTAAAAGAAATATTTAAAAAAGCTCAACCCGGTGATAATTTAAGAAGAGTGTTAAACCCTCATTTAGGTAAAACTTGTTGACCGTAGCTTATGCTTTATTATTTGCTTATCAATTATAAATTAGAATTTAAAGTGTAATAAATATGATTGTATTACTGTTTAGTTTATGGCCCAGCTATACTAGATCATGTTTTGATATCAAAAAATTTGTCACATCTAAAAATCAAAGGCCAGCAGAAATCCAAAGACAATTCTAAGAAGAATAAGGGCAAAGAAAAGGAATCTAAAACGAAAGATAAAAAAAATCAGAAAAAGGGCAAGGCATTTGACAAAGTAGAAAATGAAAATATAGAGCCTGAACCCAACAAGGAAGAATTTAATGAGAAATGTATACAAGAAAATACAAGTTTAGAAGATAATGATCCTAATATATTTAATATAGATAGGGATGTAGTAAATTTGCATGAAGCTTTGTTATTAGCAGAAGAATTATTGCAGAAAGCAAAAGAAAGCGTGTCAAAGGTATTATATTAATACTAATAACAGTTGTTTATCATATGGTACAGATCTTATATTGTCATGATCTGACCCACTAGAACCAAAGCAATTACTTTAAAATACTTATAACAACTTATATTTGTGTATATTAAATAATGTATGAAGCTGCAAACATAAAAAAAATATTTGTAAAATATAAATGTGTTGCAACTCAAATCTTAAAACAATTTAGATTGAATTATATTCTAACATTATAATGTTTTAGGGTTACATTATACAAAAGGAAGAAATGAAATCAACTCAAAATTCAGAAGATAATATTTATTACAGTAATCAGGAATACCATCCATTTTTATTTAAGCAACATGAAACAGGACCATATAAAGAACTTTTGTCGTTTGATGTATGTGTTGATGAATTTTATTCAGCATTAGAGGGCCAAAAAATAGATTTGAAGGTAAAAAATAAAATAATTATATTATTATTAAACATTATATCATATGTGATTATTTTTCTCATTTTTTTTTTTTTAATTACAATATTTGTTACAACTTTGTATTCATCTTAAATTATTGATCTATATCAAATCATAAATTTATTGAAATTGTGATTGAAGGCAATGCAACAAGAACGTGAAGCATTGAAAAAGTTAAGTAATGTCAAAACAGATCATGAGAAACGACTGCGCGAGTTAGAAAGTACTCAAGAAATGGACAAACATCGAGCAGAACTTATTACTCGCAATCAACAATTAGTGGATGACGCTATATTAGCTGTCCAGACTGCATTAGCCAATCAGGTAATTTGTACTTTATAATAAATTTTAAGAAATTTCTGATAATGTATACTTTATTCGTTTTTTATAATTTTTAAACAAATTTTTACTTATAGGTTCCTTGGCCCGAGATCCAATCATTGCTCAAAACAGCCCAAGCTAACAATGACCCAATTGCAAGCTCAATTAAACAATTAAAATTAGAAAGCAATCATATTTCTATGATTCTACTAGACCCATATACAGAATTCATGTCTGATGATAGCGATGTTGATGCAGAAGAAAATACAAATGAATTACCAAAAAAAATGATTGTCGATATTGATTTAGGACTCAGTGCTTATGCTAATGCTAGAAGGTATTTTACAATTATGGTTTAAATAATATTTTTGATTGAGATAATTTAAACAAATTCAATTCTCTTAATTCATTACTATTTTAAATTGTTTGTTACACTTTCCAAATATTTTTTAATTGTAATAAATAAGACATATATTAAACACTTTCAACATATATATATATATATATATATATATATATATATATATATATATATATAATATTATTATAATTATTATTTTATCAGATACTATGATCAGAAAAGAAATGCAGCCAAGAAGCAACAGAAAACGATTGAATCGCAAGGTAAAGCATTGAAATCTGCTGAAAAGAAAACTAAGCAGACATTAAAAGAAGTTCAGATGATGACAACAATAAGTAAAGCTAGGAAGGTTATGTGGTTTGAAAAATTTTACTGGTTTATCAGTTCAGAAAATTATTTGGTAAAAAAAATATTCTTAGTCTAAAATGTTGTAAATGTAAATTTTATTCTTAGTTTTTACTTTAGGTGATTGGGGGAAGAGATCAACAACAAAATGAACTTATTGTAAAGCGATACTTGCGGGGATCAGATGTGTATGTCCATGCTGATATTCAAGGTGCTTCATCAATTGTCATAAAAAATAATTCTGATGATCCTATACCTCCAAAAACATTGAATGAAGCAGGTGTCATGGCTATAGCATACAGGTGATTACATATTAACAAAAATATTGTTAGTAGATAGGCTCACAGAACAAAAAATAATTTTAAATTAAAAAAATAACATAAAAGTACTACTTTTAACTGCTTGATTTACAAAACTTTTTGATTGATTATTTTTATGTAACTCATAAGCAATAAACAAACAACTGAAAATGAAAAATATTATATATTAATATGATTTTATTTAAAATCTAGTGTTGCTTGGGATGCAAAAGTTGTAACTGCGGCTTGGTGGGTACATAGTAACCAAGTTAGTAAAACTGCTCCTACTGGTGAATATTTGACTACTGGTAGTTTTATGATTAGAGGTAAAAAGAATTATTTACCACCTTGCCAAATGGCCATGGGGCTCAGTTTTCTGTTCAAGGTGATAAAATTAAAAATAAAAAAACTAACAAAAAATTAGATATTGTAATATCTTATTGGTTATTAATTCACAATTTTTACTGCATATATGTAAAATCTTTTACATGTTAGGCATTTCTGTGCAAAATAGTTAAAAAAAAAATTAAAATAGTGTATATAGATAAAAGAATTCATAATGCAATATCAAAGTGTGATGGTAATTATAGTGCTGGACAAAATTTGCTCTTAAAGAATTATATTGCATATTTTTTAGAGGCACAAAATATTAAGATATGTCTGTGTTTGGCAGCTTTGAGTAGAGTATGTAAGAAGTCTCAATTTCAATGCTCAACCAATGCATACAAAATTAAGCAATATATAAATTAAAATATAATTAGAATAACTCAATTTTGTAATATTATGTTTATTTGAAGCAAGTTTCATATTGTTATCATTTTTAGTTAGAAGACAGCTCTATTGATAGACATAAAGGTGAAAGAAGAGTTCGAGTTTTAGAAGATGAATCAAATTCAAAATACCTAACAGCAATTCCTGAGCATGAAATTGAACTCAGTGATGGTGAAGGTGATAGCAGCCAATCAGAACAAGGTAATGAAAAAATTTGAAGGCCTAGATTAAAATTTTGGCATGTATATATATATATATATATATATATATATATATATATATATATATATATAATATATGTATACACTTTGTAAATTATTTGAATGGTAAAATTCAAGTAACCCAAAAAAAATTATTTTCAGACATAATAAATTAGATACAACTTTTATTGAATATCAAGCATAGTTTCTACAATCACAATAATACAAAATACCCAACTTCTAATAATTTATTCAATATCCCTTACGACCTCTAAATCTCTGTCTATTGTCAAGTATTGAGCGTTTGCACTGGAAAAATGCTTCTCGTAATACAAAACATTCCTCGGGTACAGTTCCATCTCTTTTATTCAAACATTCTCTAGGTGTATTTTTTCTATCTTTGCAACATTCACTTTTCAACAGGCACATTTTTAAATCTGCCCTGAGCCCAGCACAGGCCGTCTTATCAGCTAATCTTTCATTTTCTTCTTCATATTGCATCATTTTGAAATATAGTGTCTAATTAAACTTAAGTCAATAACAATTAACAAAAATTTTAAAACAATCTTATCTGGATAGATAACATAAGTGGATGCAAATTAAATGATTTTATAATTGTTTCTTGAAAGACACGATTTCCAATTGATTTTATTGACTTCAATATTATATTTATAACGATTTTCTTATTAAAATATATCAATATAAGTACATATTTAATCGGTTGTCAAATGTGTTTTTGAGGTTAGACAATCATTGTGTAACACAACACAATGGCTCTCAAACTGTTTTTTGTATTCATTCATTTCCACTTACATATGCATATATATAGTAGCTGAACCGGGAAACGTTGTGTTGCTAAGTAAGGTATTTTCTAGCCAATTTTTAGAGAATCTAAAAAATTAATACTTAAATACAAGTGTGCAAGAATATGTTGTTTGAATGCTATATACAATACCCATTATAAAGGTATTATAAAAACAGTAAACCCCATTAGTTTCTCTATATTTTGTTAATACAATCAAACTGGAAGTTTTATACACTTTCTATAGAAAACTTGGTATAATTCAATCCAAGTCTTTTCTGGTCTTTCGACTAATATACTCATTACAAATTCAATTTAATAGAATGTTTATAAAATTTTAAGAGTTTCAGATTCTTTTTGAATTCAAAATTTTGTGTATAATTGTAAATAATACTAATGAGCTTATACAATATTTTCAAATTTTTGCAAGAAAAAATAGAAAATGAATGAAGTATTTCTTTTTTGATCAGCTTTTTGAAAAGTTTTAAGTAACATTCCATGAATTAGTAAAAGTAAATTTAACCCTTTCGACTCGGATGCCGCCGCTTCGGCGGCATAGTCATTTTACCGTTGCTGTTGGATGCCGCCGCTTCGGCGGCATGATATGTTTTACCGCTCCGGCGGCAAATCGTGTCGTCACAAACTAAACTTACATTTAATTTGGTTTTATTTTTTAAAAATTAATTTACTATTACATTCATTTATTGATTGATTTATTAATTTTATAAATAAATATATAACAAAATTAATTTATTAGCTCATGATCCCCATAATTCTAATAAAGATCTGTGAAGAAATGATTTTATAAACAATATAGCATTGTTTTGAGTGCATTTTTTTTTAAATTTCCTATTTTATTATCATAATAACTATATTTAAAAGCAATATAACCACATTTTAAAAAAATCCGATACAAAAAAAATTCCGAGTTGAGAGATAAGTATAGCACTATAATATTCCGAGCGCAGCGTACCGTATAGCAGTCCGACTCCCGAGTGGAAAGTGTTAATAAAAAGTATATATGTAGAGCAGGGCAAGGCACAAAGGTCCAATTTAACTTTGAGCAAATATAATTTATATTATGAAAACCAAACCAATTATATCATACCAAATAACACATTTCAAACCAACAATTATCAGACTACGTTCAGTAAAACTGCCAGCAACTTATCATTTCAGAATTTTTACGCTATAGGCAGGATAACTTGTAACGGCCAGGTGGCAAACAGGTTTAATGTCTTATTTTAATTTTAAAGACATTTTACAAAACAATTACATTTTTAACTCAAGCCAAAAAACTAACAACGGAAGAAAATACTTTTATTATAGATTTTCAAAGATTACCATTTATCTCCCAATAGCAAAGACATAAGAATCAAGGTTATAGATGGTTTTACATCTTTCTCTATTCTCTATTTTTGAATATTGTTGAACAACGCTTAACTTCACTGGTTTTTGACATATCTGTGGTGTACTTTTCAAACCCAGACCTTCATATATTACTATCCATTCTTCGATAAATTCTGAGAAATTATAACTGAGAATAAGTTATTCGACAAAATGTACCTTTGATCGATTCCAAATTTAGGTTCTGAATTTAAATAACATAAATAAAAAAAATATATATTTTAGATATTGTTTTATAAATGCCAATGAGTATATGATCCTAGACAATATACTAATGGTATATGATTATACAAATGATTTCTCCAGAACACTGTGTTAGAGAAAAATATGATTTGCAAAAGGAAAGTGCTATAACGCGAAAAAGTGCATGTTTATATTAACATTTCAAAAAAATTGATATTTTGAGTTTCTAGTAACATTTGCGGCCCGTTTAATAATGTTTTTGTGTATAAATAAAATCACAAACAAAACTACTTAATACAATTGAATAATATTCATCTAAAACATCCTGTTAAATGTAATTGAACATCATCTGTCAAAAACATTTGACATTTGACGTATGAGCAGCCGTCAATTGTTTTATTTAAATTACGCTTCTACAAAAATTTTCAAATTAAAAATGTAAAGTTTCTACGTGATTTTGAAATAATATCTCACCTTTCCGACAACCCGATACTGATTAGCATGAATTTTTCAAGACTGACCAAATCCGTATAGCCATTTTAACGTTTTACCATACCTAAGATAATTCATAACTACAGTTAAAATTAAGATTATTATTGAGTTAGAAATTTTGATCTTTTATAGATAATATTAATAAATATTGTGTTTACTTCTATTTGAAAAGTTTAGTTTAGTCATATAACATTCAAAACTTTCAAACATTTTCTGCTAATTTATCATTTTTAAAATCTAAAAACTTTTCAGTTGCATGATTTTTAAAATGCATATATTAATATTTTTATAATATAATTTACAGATAATTGTGAGAAAGTGTCACATGAACATGTGATTACTGAAATTCAAGAAGAAATTGTTTCAGTTACAAAACAATTTCCTGACATACAAATCAAGGTTGATCATAATACAGGACACGTTGCAATAGTTAATAAAGATGAAAACATTGCATTCAAGGTAAAGAGAAAACATTTTATTTTTGTACATATAATTTATCCATTTTTAATTTTAAAACAAACTCCTTTTATATAAAACAATAATTATCCCAATCTGGACATACAGAATTGAGCTATGGGCGTGCGCAAACAATTCAAATATAAAAAAAATACAAATAGCGCAATCGAAAAATTATAAGTTCTTCCAATATTTTTATATATTCATATTACAAAATATTATTACCAATGAGAATATTTTGTAATATTGTGTTGTGTTGTGTATCAAGAATGATTGAGCAATTTGAAATATTTTTTAGCAGAAATGTGATATGCAAGAAGAAAATGTCATATACCTCGGGGATGATAAGCCTATTGTCATTAAACCTTCAGTAAAAGCAAAAAATAAATCTGGTCAAAAGAAATCAGATAACACAAAAGCAAACATAGAAGAAAATAGTGAGAATGAAAATATGAGAAAAGTAGGAAATCAGAATGTCAAGCGAGGACAGCATGGAAAATTGAAAAAAATGAAAGAAAAATATAAAGATCAGGATGAAGAAGAAAGGCGTCTACGTATGGAAATATTGAAGGTATACAATTTTTTGTCAATAATATTTTGCTTCTTATGTGATTTCATTCATATACATTTAATATAATCATTTTAATAGTAAACTATTTGTAACAATAAATGTGGTAAATCGCTTATTACTTACTACAAAAGTTATAGTCTGCAGGCACAGCAAAAGAAATGAAAAAATCGAAGAAAAATATGTCCAAGGGTTCAACTGACCACAGTAAAATTAAACAACAGGCAACGAAGAATATACAAAGCAATGATATTGTAACTAGCTTTTACCAAAATAAGGAATTTGTGCAGTTGGAAGGAGAAGCTGAAGGTATTTCAAGCATTATTCATTTAGTCATGTTTACTTGTATATATATATTCAAGTTATCATTTGTTATTTCATCTGACAATGAAATATAAATATAATTTATGTATATATATATATATATATATATATATATATATATATATATATATATATGTTTATATAACACAATAGTTAATTAAATTTTAAAAAATAGCACAAGTTGGTGAAAGTAATGAACAAGCAGATCGAAATGAACGTGATTCTGGTGAATTGCAATTAATTTTAGATTCTCTAACTGGCCAACCACTTGAAGAAGATGAATTGTTATATGCAGTTCCAATTATTGCACCTTACAATACATTAACAACATACAAGTAAGATCATTTTTATAATGATACTTAAAATATTTAAAAAGTTTAAAACCAAAATATTATTCAGCGTCTTAGGTTCTTTTTCACTCTTAATAATTTTGTTATACTTTATTTCACAAACAGGTTTAAAGTAAAACTGACTCCTGGAACAGGCCGAAGGGGGAAGGCTGCTAAAACAGCAGTTGCAATGTTTGTCAGAGAAAAAGCTTGTACACAAAGAGAAAAAGATTTAATTCGTGCAGTTAAAGATGATGTTCTAGCTAGAAACATACCTGGGAAAGTTAAGCTATCAGCTCCTCACTTACACAAGCATAAGTAAGCCTCGGTTTATCATTTATGTAATTTTTAAATTAAAATATTGTGATAATGTAGTGGTTTTTATAAATTGTAATATGTTTCTTGAGTATGAAAGTAGTAAATACTCTTCTTGGTTGCTAGAATTAAAAATAAAGTATATTATAATAAAAAGATTAATTATTTTAAGTTTATTTTATTTTTACCAATTTTAATTTTAAAATGATACCTAATCTTCACTATCGGCATTTATAGCATTTTCAAGGCAAAACAAAAAACTGAATGTTTCAGTTTTTTAATTTAAATGAGTATGTAAAATATTTTCATTAATACTATTATTCAAAGTGTTAATTAGTTCATTTTAATTAATATACTTTAAATATTGGTCAGTTTTATTTAACTTTGGACTTGTACAATAAAAATTAAGTTTTCAACTATGTTCTTTTCCTTAACTTTGGACTTCTACAATAAAATGAAGTTTTCAAGCGTTCACGTACGTCGATTTTGGAAGACCGGGTCCAGAGTCGACTAGCAATCGCAGCGTGAAATGGGGGATCGTGCCATATGC